ATTTTATTTTATTTTTTACTTATTAGTCTGGTTTGTAATCCGGTCTTGAATCTATCCCTGCTAGGCACTTTGCATATTAACTCATGAAGTGTGGTAACATGTTGTGTATATTTCTAGTAAGTACATTCACATGATTAAACTCGAAGGAATTGATAAGAACCCGCACAAAAGTTGAAGCATGCGAACGACTTTGATGCAAAGTAAAGGAGAAAAAACACGCTTAACTTCAATTTGATGATTTTCCTAAAACTCGTGCTGAGGAGTATTTTTCAATCACATATTACCACTGGTGGACCCACATGGGGTCATGTGGGGGTCAAATGACCCCACAAATTTTTTATTTTTATTTTTGAGTTTTTTTTCTTACCCAAACATTTTTGAATTCTCATTTTTGACCCCAGAAGAAAAATGATATCGATCTGCCCCTGCCTATTACCCTGTAAGTTGTTTTTGTTAAAGGTAAAAATCGAGGGTCGCTTAAGTATTAAAACATGCAATAATCAACATATAATAAGGGATTCTATTTAAGACAAAACCAAGACGACAAAGTTTAAAAAGTTCAAAGGATCATTTTAGATATCCGTCTCTAAGACTCTGTAATATAAAAGGTTATCATGTTTAGGAATATCTATCTCTAACCTGATCTGAGTTTATCATTCAGACATTCTTCAGCACTGATTTCCAAAAGATAATGTAAAAAATTGTTGACGTTTTGTCAAATATGCCGCAGCAATAATTATTTAAACCTAAAATGCTGATATGATTAGCTAAAAAAATTAAAACCCAGAATATATCATTGCTTTTGAAAAAACTTAAAACAAAAATTTCCAAATATATCATTTTTAAAATTATTTCTTATCATGCAAGAAGATTTGTTATGACTTGGAATCCATGTTCACTACAAGAAAATTGACATTTTAAGATGACTTTCTTAAGAAGGTCGATCGGCCATTGTTTTTGGTACAAATGAAATGATAAGATTACAACTCAAGCTTTATCTCTGGATTCTATTTTATCTATCGATTTTGATCGCGATCCTTAAAATTTCCGGGTGGTCAAGAATCTTCATCCAAGGATAATGACTTATCCTTAATAGATATGAGGTTACAGGGCGACTTTTGTTGAAGTGATTTAAATACACAAAAGAATAATGCTTAAAGAACAGTTCCATGGAAATAAGGGTATTCTTATTCAAGATTAATGGCTTTGAATTCTTGCATCTATATATTCTTTGGCAAAGGAAAAAGGAGTGAGAATTAATGATTAAGACTCTTCGACTAAAGCATCTTCACTCTCTTTATTTTCCTTTTGCTTGAAGCCACTAATATTTTGCAGCAAATATTTATCGACACAAATTTATCCTTAATAGAAAAGGTTAGGACTAAGAAGTATGCTTTTAGCTAAATAATAAATTAATCAATATTAATATTCTTAACAAAAATATTAACGGTTTCTATTCCAAACTTTCAAGGTGAAATGAGATATCGCATAGCCATCTTCTGGCATGTCTGAATATAACATTATAGCATGTGAATCCTATAATATTTTTGACAAAACAATAAATACACAAGTGTGAGAATATTTTTTCCTCGTTTCAAAGCACACAAACGGAATAATTTGACAAAAATCAATATCAAGGAGGAAATGAACTAATTAATGGAGCGTTGAAAATAAAAGTTCGACGGGCAAAAAATTTAAGGAGTGGTGCTATGTGTACACACAATTTTTTACACAACCTTTTACACTCCCCTCACATGGAGGGGGGCCCACGATTATTTTATTATGTATGGGCCCCCCTCCATGTGAGGGAGGTGTAAAACATTGTGTAAAAAATTGTGTACACATAGCTTTATTCGTTTTGAATAGTGATTTTTGGAGAATGTGTGATTAAAAGTTAGAGAAATTT